TTAGAGTTAAAAATTTCCAAGATATATGGATTAATGCTACAAAAAAGTGGCGCAAAGTAAAATTGTGGAGATGATGGCGGGTACTTTACAAAAAAATTTTACTTGCCCGTCGCGACGGTGACCCAGATTAAGTTAAAAACGGAAAAAAGTACCTAACTATTAACAACATGTTCATTAAACTTACACTATGCATCAAAATAGGGGTTTTTGGGGTCAAGGAATTCAAATTAGTAACTTAAAATTATTTTCACATGCACCTATTACCTGTATAACGCACATGTACGCGTCAAAACGCGCGTCAGAGGACTTTGTATTTGTAAATAACATTTTTAGTAAAAAACTTAGCTTCCTTGACCCAAATTATACCATTATTTTATTATTACACAAACACTCGAGCACGCGTTCAACACACGAACACGCGTTTAACACGCGCGAATTTTCTAAATGCACGCAGACGCGTAACAAAACACGTTATGAGTCTTTAACGCAATCTATAATACAAAAATAACCTAGTCATAATATTATAATATTTTTACAATTTAAATTACTAATAAGTTTACTACTTCTGGAGGCAAAGTTCTGCCTTGATAACTCCTGTGTTTTACAAATGAAATGCTTAAGATTTTTGAATCCTATCTAATCAAAAGGTCACCTGATCTTTCATTGTGTTAATTCTTGATAGTTTTGTTGGATGATCTAATCAAAAAGTTGTGCACCTGACCTTTCATTGTGTTAATTCTTGATACTTTTGTTGTATGATGCAACCTTACATTTCGGATTTGCTTGTTTAGACTTTCCTGAGCTTCCTCAGAGTATTGGGCAATAGGCAAATCAAATTGCTTTAAATGAAGCAACCATATATCAGAATTTTCTGAACACTGGGTGGCATTATAAACCAACCATATTTATTAATTATAATTTTAGCTGTATCAGTACAATAAACTTCAAATTGATTACTATCAATATAGTACCCAGAAAATAATGTATTAAGTACAATGTGCATTCTCTTTATAACTTCCATATCAACCCCTGTTATTTCAGAGAAAATCGCAGAGTTCTCAAATGCTCTTCTTGAAATATTTCCATCATTGCTATTACCAAAGCTTACTTTGGGCTGGTCAACAATGAGACTCAACTTTTCTCTGAACTTTGATTTAATAAAATTCTTCTTTAAATTTACAGTAAGCTTCTCTTCTTCAGTTCTGTCTTGAAACTTCTGGATTTCCATTTTATAACCTAAATGTATAATGAATTCAAAAGATCTTACCCAACAGTGCAAATTTGAAATACCTAGTTTAAGGGCTTTCTCGTTAACAGGCTTTTTTAAACTATATCTATATCATCTCTTTGGGCTTACAACCACACACATTACAAGACTGAGTTGACTTAGTGTCAGTCAATGAATTTATTACTTTTCCATCATGATCATATCAATTTTAAAAGTAACCTTAATAGTTATTAGTCTACCAGCAATACTCAAATCTGTTTAGAAGGGTTTTAACTAATTCATTTGAATTTGAAGATCAGTTACTTATTTTTTGCACAACTCTGATGTCTCTTTTTTATATTGCAGGTGAAGAGGTCTACAAAAATGGCAGCTAGAACTTTTAGAATTTTCCCAAATGTCAATGTTTTCAACTTTAAACAGATGAGGTACAATTGCTGTGCTAAACAGGCTATCTTCTTGCTTTGATTCTTCAGTAAAATTAAGGTTGTCAAATATTTGTTTGTAAATACTTTGACTTGAAGTTCCATATAAACCATGGAAGTATAAAACAGATGGAAGTTCATCGAGCCGCAAACATCAAAGCAATTTCAAGTCGTCTCGGGAGTATGGTTGTAACCGACAATAAAAAAAAAAACAAGTTTCACTGGATAAAAAAACAACAAAATTCACTGAAATGATCTTTATTAAAACATTAAAAAATGAATCATTCTAGGGATCTGCTGCAAATTTTTAACCATTAGTAATTGCAATTATTCAACAAAAGGTTTATTAAAACTCGGTAATTAAATAGAACCACTTGATTTTAAAAGCATATGTTAGTTTGAGCTTCTTTACTTGCTTCAAGTCATAACACAACATTTGATTAAAAAGACAACTAAAACAATTTTTAAAAAATCAAAAAAATTGTTTTTTAAATAACTTAAGTTTAAAGTTTTATTAGATGTGTATCATAACTCCATTCATTCTTGTAGTACTCCATTCATTTAATATAAAGTTTATATTAAAATTGTTGTTTGCCGTTACGTTGCGCCATTTTTAATGTTTTTCTTGAATATTATTGGCGAACCTTCAAAACACTATTTTTTTAAACTATTATAAACGTATCTATTTGCGTCAACGTATAAAGATTAAGCATTTAAGTACAGTCTTGATGTCGTTTTCTTATTGTTTACGAAACAAAAGGTTACAAGCATAGTCCCGAAGAATTTCAATGCGGTTGAACTTCCATCTGTTTTATACTTCCATGATCAAACCCAATTTTTACATATAAAACTCCATTCATCTCAACTTTACAACTTTTCTTTAAATCAATTATATCTATAATCTTAGTAACTGTATGATTTAGCATACTTTGTAATGAGCATTTTGCTGACATTTCAGTAAATTGAACACCTTCTGGATAACATTTCAGCTTTTCTTTCCCAAGCTTATTAAGACTAGGATATATTTTTACATTGTGAAAAAGGGCTGAATTTCTCATCATTTGGTATTGTAAATCACTTAAGTCAGTTTGCTTTTTCAGAACAAGAGCCTCCTCTAGTTTGAGAGTTGTTTGAGTCAAGGAATCAATACTTTTTCTCATCTGAGCTACATTAACACATTTAAAAGTTCTTTTCTAAATATAAGCTGAATCGTTTTCATCTGCTGCTTTAGCACTCTTTGACGCAGCAAGAGATAGAGCTACATGGTATTCATTAGTTAAACCTGCAATCTTTGCTCTTTTACTTCTTTCGCAAAGATCTCCCCATTCCTTAACTGGTCTTCCTTGTCTAGGATGAAAAGACACACTATAATCAATGAGATTTTTTCCTAGCCAATTATTTTCGTACTTTCAAATTTTTTCATTGTTTCTACTACATTTTTTAAGCTTATTTTTCACTTTCGAAATAAAAATCTGTACAATTCTATTTAGTTCACCAAGTTTATCTTTAGGAAATATTTCGGATTTTTTGATAAATTTGATAAGTCTTTCAGGAAGTGCTTCGTTATTCGCAAATTTTTAAAAATAGATCCAACCTTTTCATTTTACTTTTAAAACTTAATTTTTTCTTTACCAACTTATATAATGATTAGACTTCTTTAATTTTCAAAATAATAGGTAAATACTAGATTATATATTTTTACATAAACGTCCGAAAACTGTTTTTAAATCGAAAAGGGAGGGGCGGGTGTTGCATTTGACAAAACTATGCATGAATCAATTTAAAATATCTCCTTAAGGAGCAGGAAGTTGCAGCAAATACTGTAGGGTTTACTTGGCTATAGTTTAGTGGTTTTGTTTTGCTAAAAGTGAATGTGGAACAACTGGCACTTATGTTTAAACTTGTGTACTAAAATTTTTATTTTTAAAAGAAAAATTAAAAAAAACTTTTTTTTTTTTTTTTTTAATCTAAAAAAAAAAAAGTAAATAAGTTTTTATATCTAGACATTCATTACTTTAAGAAAAAAAATAAAGTTTTGTATGGAGGTGGAAAATAAGGTTGCTTACAAGATAATCATACCTTAAATTTTCATAATTTTATGGTGATAAATTTAACTTTTTACACATATATCCATTTAAAATTACACAATAATAATGTCTGTGAAATTATTTCAGACATAATTATTTCTAGTGATTTCAGACCAAAAAGTAGTTTACTTTAACATTTTAAGTATAAAAACGTTAAAACTTTTACTTTTTTTTTCGGACTTTTTGCCAATTTTAGGTTAATCTGGGTCACTGTGCGTCGTTAAGTTAAGACTTTTGTTGAAATAAAGAGTAATTAAGCATGCATCATTAAAAAAAAGAAATTGACGAAGTTTGAGAAAACTCAATTTTAAACAAAATTTTCAATAATTAAAATTGATGAAGTGAATTGAAAGATGAGATTTGATGACAATTGATTCTTTTTACATTTTAAATTTGCTTCAATACCTTTATTTGAAAGATGAGATGAGATTTGATGACAATTGATTCTTTTTACATTTTAAATTTGCTTCAATACCTTTATTTGAAAGATGAGATGAGATTTGATGACAATTGATTCTTTTTACATTTTAAATTTGCTTCAATACCTTTATTTGAAAGATGAGATGAGATTTGATGACAATTGATGAGAGAATTGAAAATTGGTCTTTGAGAAGTAGTCTTTGAGAAAACTCAATTTAAAATCGTCTAAAATTCAACCATTCGTCTAAATTTCAAAAAAAGTGATACAGAAAATTAAACTAAAAATGTAAACTAAATATAAAACGAATAATTGCACTAAACCGTATAGATTAAATTAAATAAAATATAAAAATAAATAAAAAATCATAATTCCACTGTTTAATTATTCCACTTAAGTATTTAAGAACTCCTAATAATTCCACTAAACTATTTAAGAGTTAACTAAATATAAGACAAATAATTGTACAATACCGTACAAATTGAATTAAATACAAACAAAATCAAATAGTTTCACATTGAATAAATTTAAATATAATAAAAATTAAATATTAACTAAATATAAAACAAATGATTGCACTAAATCATATAAATTTAATGAAATTTTTACATAAACTAAATATCAATCAAATAATTCTACTAAACTGATGATACAAAACGATGATACAAAACGATTATATGTACTAAACTGTGTAAATCACATTAAATTAAATACAAACAAAATCGCACGTGTTTCATATAAGTAATTAAAGATGCTTTTTTTAGTTATTAACAAAAATTGCGCATTCGTATCTATTTGCATATTTCGACTTATTTTTCAATAAAAACATACATAAACAAACGTAATTCAATAACGACTATTACTTCCTTTTTATTGGCTACTTTAAACAATACATCTATTTAAAATCATTTATAACCTCTCTAGTTATAACCTCTCATAATTAGACTGTAATTAAAATTCTCTATCTTTCAGGAGTTTACTATTTTATTTGCTCTAAATAGTGCACCAACCTTGACTCTCGTTACGAACTATAACAAAAAAAAGCTTGCGTAATTTTTGAATGATTTTAGATGGACTCTAAAATAAGCATAAATCAAGTATACAGTTGCTTGTAATAGAAAAATGAACTTATATATATATATATATATATATATATATATATATATATATATATATATATATATATATATATATATATATATATATATATATATATATATATATATATATATATATATATATATATATATATATATATATATATATATATATATATATATATATATATATATATATATAATTATATTATAATGCTATAAACCTAAACATCTATTTAAACTATATTATAACTATACAATTAACACTCGTTCGAATACTATCAATTAACACTCGTTCGAATACCATCAATTAACACTCGTTCGAATACCATCAATTAACACTCGTTCGAATACCATCAATTAACACTCGTTCGAATACCATCAATTACTTCTTTTTTAATCTTGAGCCTTTACGGCTAAATTTTTTTTTGTACTAGTTGTAAATTTTATATAGCTCTACAAAAGTTTAAATAAAGTTTGATCTGACCTGTTCCTCGTTTACTGTCGGGAATAAACATGTATAGGTGATCAATTACTTCCATTTTTTCAAATTAGTTATTTGCTTTTAGCACCTTTCCAACTTTTTCGATAATTACTAACGCTTACTTTAATATAACTTTGTCTTGTGTTTCCCAGAGGATCTTAAGGATATGTTCCATATAGTAACTGGATTATTGATTCTAGTTGCAATATTATACAAGGATTTTATTAGAAAAATCAAGAACAATATTTATTTGGTATTCTAAACAGCCTTATTTTTCTTAAAAGATCCGTTACAAAATTTACCGGTTCCGGGCTGATAGGTGATAAGTAATCTGAAAATCTATAAAAAAAAATTGTAGCAAAAATAAAAGTAATTCATTAGTTTAGATAATCTAATATATAATTACCCTGTCTGTAATAAAATAATTATTTACTTTGTGAAAAGAAACTTTTTTAACTGATTTTAAAATGTTTCACCGAATTATGACGTCTAAACTAATTAATTAATTACATCAAGCTCGAGAAAATAATTTATTTTTATTACCATAATTAACTGCTAATGAGTAATAAATTACAGCGTTACGGAATCAGGGAATTATTGACCTTATAATAAATTATATATTTGTATGATTTTGAATGAATATTATAAATGCTAATTTTTAATTGATTATTCTTTAAACAGTTATATTATTGGTCTCAAAATAAATAAAATTTATGAAATTAAAAGGTTGCTAAAAACGAGTACCAAGGGCGCCAGTAAATAAAAAAATTATTAAGCATACGTAATGTATATTTCTTTGGCTTCCTAGTCTCGCTTGACTTTTCAAAATTAAATTTATATATGTAAATGGTTGCAAGAACCGGGTGCCACGAGCGTCCATAAATTTAATATTTATTAAATAAATGTAATAGTATATATTTCTTAGGCTTTCCTGGCTTCACTTCATATCTCTAAATAAATAAAAAATTATGTAAATGACTGCTAAAAACAGGCGCCACGGGTGTCTCTGAAATTACTTGTGCCCAAATAATATTAAATGCGTGGGAAAAAAACAAACCTTAAAATACAATAGCTTTTTAGCAATACTGTTGTATATTACACCGCAATGCACCAATACATTACACCACAATAATTATTGTGATCGTTTTTTCTCACAACAATACATTAGTCATTTTATTTTTTTTTTATGACAAAAATAGGGTAGACCGGGGCAATTTCGCCACTTTTAATATTTCAAGAAAAAGATGTTATTCTGGCATAACACCATATTAAAATAATGTAAATCTTAATAACTCCATATTAAGATGATGTAAAATATTTATCATTTTAAAATAATTACCTTATAACTATTGGTTGATCATAGTTGCCGCCTAATTTGATTGGTTGTTGTAAATTTTAATTGAGATTTGCTATTTAATGTTATTAATTGATATTAGCCAATCAGTAATAATTATCTTGTTGCATTTTTACCCCAAATGCCAAAATCTAAAACTCGCTGTATATTACCTAGGTTTCAAATGGTACGCCAGAATCTCCCAATGAAAAATAAATCCTATAGTGATACCAATCTCCAATTGGCTATTCAAGCTGTTAAAGATGGCGGTAAAATATAAACGGCAGCAGTAACATTTGGAAAGATTAGATAAATGGACATCAACAATCAAGCTCTGTGGAAAAACAGTGATTACAAAGCAACAGGAACTAGTAACCAGGCTTTTTTACATGGCAGATTGTGAATTTTAAATATTAAATTGGCAACAAAATGGTTAAGGTAAAGTTTTTATTTATATGCTAAAAAACTACATCGTCGTAGATTACTTCAAAAAGATTTGCCCACTACAAGGCATAAAACTTATTTATATAAAAAATAAAAAATTTCTGTGTCCAAGTAACTAGAACAAGAACTTCTCCATCAAACAAAAAAAAGCGGCTCAAGAAAGAAAAGAAATTTTTTGCCCAATCAAATAAAAGTATATGGCTCAAAGAATAGGAAATCCCATAGTTTAAAATCATTATTAAACCAAAAGCTACCGAGTACATAAAATCTTGTAACAGAAACAGCAAAAAACACCTCACTGCTGTGTGTGCGATGTGGCATGGGTGGATTTATCAGAAGATTGGCTCCAATGCTTTTCTTGTCATATATGAGCATGTGAAGTCTGCTTTTACATCGGCATGTGCACAGAATGTGAAGGACCTCTTTTTTTTTTTTTTTAGAACCCTAAATTTCATTTGGCGCTCCTTAGATATCTGCCGCCCGGAACAAACTGTCCCGGTGGCCCCTTCCCCTCGGCGGCCCTGCATATATGTGTGTAATACAAATCGGTGTTCATGAACATAATTTTTTATTTTTTTATTTTTTAAACACGGTGGAACTAAATATAGTTTATTCAATATTATTCAGTTTATGGTATACGAAAAAAGCTTATCAGATTAAACAGACAACATTAAATTAGTAAAAGTGTCGAAATCGCCCTGGTCTTCAAAACCTACTATACAAAAGTTATTGTGATTGTTATGCATCACAGCAATACATTTCAATAGTTCTAGGATTTAAGAACAAAAACAATAAAATAATTATTGTAACTTTTTTTCATCACAGCAATACAATAACAATAAATAACGTTTTAATTACATCTCTGGTATGTGTTGTTATATTTAATTTTTACATTTGCAGTTATAAAGACCAAAGCCAAAGATTAGAAAGTTTCAAAGAAACTTTCTAATCTTATTAATCCTAAGTTTAAAAACATAAGTTATGGTTTCTTTATTTATAAGCTCTGAAACATTAGCGCTTGTAAATGGTGTAGATAATTGTGGAAACACTAGATTTGTGTAAAACTATTGGCTAAGTTCTTCCATTTTTTATTTTTTATTTATCTATTTACTAATACTCAAAATATGGGTGTTTGAATTTTATTTAATAATTTGGATGTTATTTTGAAACATTTTGAAAGATTAGTTTTTCAAAAGTATTCAATATTTTCAATTATTTAATTGATTATTTTGGCTTTTTACAGCTTTAAAGAAAATTTTTACGAGCTAACTTGTAATTGTGCTAAATAAAGTGTCCTCCAAAAGTGTAATCTACATACTAATCTAAATACTTGAAGAGAGATTTCGATTTTAAAATTTGATACACTTAACAATTTTTATATTTTATATTGTACAATAAATATCATTGACTATTTCAATAAATAGAGCTCATTTAATCCAAGAAAATTAGCTGAAATTAGGGAAATTGTGGGTGTTTCGTATCATACATCGTAAATGACTAAAAATCCATGCAATCGCGCATTCCATTTCTGAATATAATTTTTATGATAATCCTAGAAAAAGAGAAGACTTCAAAGAATAAAGATAAAAAGGGATTATATAAAAACGCACACACATATATTCTTTATAAAAAGAGAGAACTTATAGCTACGACAGAACATACAGGACCCAAATTACTGTAAGTGCAACAGGGGCAAAGCTTTGAAGCTAATTTCTTTTGTCTAATTTATTGTATTATTGTATTGCCCCCCTCCCCCCTGTATCTTTCCATCTGCTTCTAAAACTTTTGCTTATTTGGGCGCTTTTGCCATTTTGATTTGTTTATTTTTTTATTATCTATTTGAAGAACTTTTCCTTTGTGTTTTGATTTGATTCATTTGCAATACAAAAAATTGCACTTGCGTAATAACTATTTATAATGAGAATTTAATTGTTTTTGTCTGAAAGCAAAAAGGAAATCGGCAATGTAGACGTACGCTTGTATTTTCAATAAAGACTTATAGCTGATAGATTTTGTGTAGTGCGTATTAGTTTCGCAGAGTTGCAATTGGTTTTGAATTGAGGATGATAAATGATTTGATCTGAAATCAGTCAACAGAGCACGCCGCTGCTGCACTTCTGTTAAAACACACCGAACTCCTGCCAAGTTTCTGAGCATAATTTTCTAGCAATATAGTTTGCCAAAGCAAAACCACTAAGGTGCTAATTTATTATAGTATGGAGATATAAAATTCCTTTCTGTCAATAAAGTTAGTAAGCGAAATATGTATTTACATATGGAAACACGAAAGTCATTTTTATTCATGTATATCTCCGCGTTTTCGTAATGAAAGGTTTTTTCGTATTTAATTTGATCTTATCGTACATAATTTGATCTTATAACTTTGTGTCTGGCTATGTCCATTGAGCTTAATAGTTGTTAAAAATTTAATACTATGTTTTTTATCTTTATATTTAAAAATGTTTTTAAATTTAAAAATTGTAAAAAGTTCTTCACAACTTTTATTAACTAAACCTTTACGTGTTTTCTGATAATGGAAATGCTTAAAATCTTGCAGCAAAATTAATTAATTCCATTTTGAGATATTTCTTAAGAAATAAATCCTATAATCATAAAAGATTTAAATAATTTATAATAGTTGATAATAGAAAAACCAAATTGAATTAATTAAGGATGTGTTTATGTAGTAATTTACCTAATATAATTTATTGCAAATAATATAGAAATAAAAAAAATGTATATTTTTAATATTTATTGTTAAATATGGATTTTTTATATTATTTACATGATTATTTTTACTAAGTATTATACATATTACTAGTTATTTTTTAAATGTGTAATATATATATATATATATATATATATATATATATATATATATATATATATATATATATATATATATATATATATATATATATATATATATATACATTTAATATTTAGTTACACATAAAAAAAAATTAAAAATTAGTTTAAGTATTGTGATATGCAAATGGATAGCGGCCGTAGCAGTCCATTACCCTTGTACAGATCGAACTCATTAAGAGGAAACCTAAATCGTACTTCATTGGTCAGAAGAAATCAAAGCATGAGTGCAAAACAAATTAGTTTTTTTCGTAATGGAGATCGCTATTTCAATGGACTCAAGTTAGCTGTTTCAAATGAAAAATATAAGGAGTTTGATTCTTTATTAGCAGAGTTATCAAAAAAACTGGATCTACCAACAGGTGCTGTTAGATATATATTTAATGCTCAAGATAGTAGTATAATTACAGACATATCTCAATTACAATATGGTGTTCCATATGTTTGTTCTTCTAACAACACCTTTAGGGAAATAGAAGGAGGTTATGGGAAACAAATGCATAATTGGTCAATAACCAAGTCACCAAAATTAGATACAAATTTTAATTGTTCCAAACCAAATATTTTAACTAATCATGATAATAATGGACAATTTAATCATATATCAGAAGGAGAATCTGGAAAGGATTTTATTAAACCTAAGCTTGTGACTGTAATTAGAAATGGTAAACCTCCACAAAAAAAAGTCACTTTATTATTAAATAGTAAAACAGCCATCTCATTAGATCAAGTTTTAGATCAGTTATCTGCACGTGGTTGTCTTGGAAAGGTGGATAAACTTTTTACAGTTGATTGTCATGTGGTATGTTTATTTTTTCATCTCTTTTTTGTGTCAATATTATATCAAATTGTATTTTATTTTATATATACTAAATATAATTTAATTATTGGAATTGATTTTTGACTAACAATACATCATTTTAGGCACAAAATACCTGAAAAAATTTAATATATACTCTACAACTTGATTGTGGTCAGGCTAAGAGAAATTATAATATTTTTATTTTTTTTAAATAAAATTGGTTTTTTGAATTTAAATAAACTCTTTTTAGTTCAAAAAGATGTTTTACATAATTGCTTATTTTATTACAGTATAATTTTATGGACCTACGTGTTCTTTAGAATATGTATTTATTGTTCTAATAAATAAATATAAATAAATAGTAATTTTTTGATTTCAATAATTAATTGCTTTAATTATAGTGTAATTGATACTTTTATTTATGTTATTATTAAAAAATCTCTAATATAAAAAATCTCTTCGAAATTATCTAAATGTAAAAATTGCAGCGTTATCAAACTATATTTAAGATTATTAATCTAAATTTTAGCTTTAATTTTACTTCAAATAATGGTTAATATGTTGCTAAATAAAAATTTAAAAAATTGTTTATTTTAATGTTTCCCATTAGCTTTTTTTTTATTCCTATTATTTATGTTTATATAGTTTAATTGTTTTTTTGTTTTTTTTAATTTTTCATTTACATATATATTTTTTCTTGTTGAATTTACTATTAGTTTACAATTTCAAATTTTTTTTTTTAATTTTTATTTTTATTTAAATTGTTTATTTAACTAAATAATTGAAAATTTTTTAAAAAATTTGCATTCATTGGTTTTAACTTGAACAATTTTGTTATGTATTTAATTTGATTGATTTTTTACTTGTTAAACATTTTAAATCACTCAACTGGAAAAAACTTTCTCAAAATGTGTATTTATCATGCATGATATTTTTTAAAATATTTTAATTTTTTCGCATTTATAAAAATTTTATTTTTTATTTAATATAAGTAAAATTATTTTATTTCAAAGAATATGTGCATAATTTATTTTTGAAAACATCTGCATAATTTGTTTCTAAAAATCTGCATAATTTATTTCAAAAAATTATTGCATACTTTACTTGAAAAACTGAGTTGTAACAAGGTACTTAAAAGGCTAATTTAGAACTAAAATTTGCTTAAAGCCACATTAAATGTTTTTTTTTATTTTTCATTTCATTATATCCTATTTTATTTTGGTTATTAAAACTTTATTTTAAAGTTTGTTTAAAGTTTGTTTTTAAATAAATTCTCTTCTAAATAAAGCAAAGTACTAATTCAATTTAAACTGAAAATCTTTTAAAAATGAACCAATTAAAGACAAACTTCAAAAGTGTAGCAGCAGCAAAACACAAATACATTTTTAAATTTATTGCAAATGTTTTAAACATGATTTATATAATTTATTTAGCTATAAATAAGTTATAAATTTAATAAGTTTATTAGCTTTAATACTTAATAACTTAATTTTTTTTTTTAATTTTTTTTAATCATAAGAAAGTTGTAAAGTTACTAGGATACATTTGCTACTACTTATATACTTACAAACTTGAGCAATTTTATGTTAAAACATCCAGCAGCCCTATGCCTTAGATTTTGCTAAGTTTTACATCTCTCAAAGATTTTAACAAACTATGAACATACACAATATTTCTTCATCTAATTCCAACTGGCTTCAAAGTTATAACTATTTTAACATTGGTTATAAAATAAATATAAAACATGAATTTTATATTTATTTAATTAAGAAAAATAAAGAACTCAGATAAAAAAAAGTAACAAAAGCTCAAAAAATAAAAATTAAATAAAAATCAAAAAGGTTTTATATTTTACAATTAAACATTTATTGGTTATACTCAATCTTATATATTTGCCTTAATCTTGTTGTTGGGACATTAATTATTACAATATGATTTGACAATGGTAACCAACAGACATTAGCTCTTGGTAGCCAAATAAAGTTTTGAGATATACCTTGAGGGTGCCTAAATGTAATTTGAATATCATTTGTAGTAATATCTACCTTTGTAACCATGCCTATTCACCAAAAGGAACTCACATGCTACAAAATCATTTAGATATGGTACAACCACATACTGCTTTGAAAGTATAAATCTGTCTGCACAATGATGTCCTTTTGTTTTTTTAAAACTAGTTTCAAAATTTAAAATAAGTATGTAATGGTGATAATTTCTAGTCTCTGGGACAGTTTTACCCATATCAAATCGTTCCATTAGTTGTTTAATATTGTCAAGTTACTTCTTCTTTGAAACCAGTTGGAATTAAATGTCCAATTTTTTTCCAACTTTGGACTATTTTGTTATAGCACAGCAGTATCATGTTGGCATCAATTTACATATTTATTTTATTATTTGCATTTTAAATCTCATTGTAGTAAACAAGAAGCTATATAACCCACTAAAGTTTAGTTTACCTGGTGTAATCAATAAAGTCTGAACACCAAATTAGATCACTAAATAAAATGACACAAAAAACATTGTATACTTACAAGAGTGCTCAATAGATAAACTAAAGCTATGTAGTATATATGTTACTGTTACCCGCAGTACCAGTTAGTAAAATAGTTTTTTTACTATTTGCCTGAAGATTGGCATAACGCATGAAACTCAAAGATGCAATATTAAATTATAATATAAACATTAGCATTTAGGTAATTTCTGGTACCGCAGAAAACAGTAACATATATATTATTCCTTAAAACATTTTACTAGTTTCGTTACGTCTCAATCAGTTATAATTGTTAACAATGTTACATTTTATATTTTAAATTAGGTATTATTGCTTTGTCGCGAAAAAAAAAAGTTTTAATTTGCAACGCTGTCTTAATTAGCTTTTTTTTTAACTTTTAAAAGTAAAACTAAATGAAACGTAACGTAATGTAAAAAAAACACAATCAAAATATGTCTCAAATACAGATTTTATTTTACGTTACGTTACGTCTCAATTGGTTACACTTTTGAAAATAAAAACTATATTTGTTATATATTTTATTTGTCTCAAATGTGAGACATCAATTTGTAATGTTACGTTTCAACTTGCTTTTTTTTTTTCCCAACTTTTTAAGTGTAACCAATTGAGACCTAATATAATGTAAAAAAAAGGCGCAATTAAAATTACGTTTTAAATGCAGAATTTTTATAAAACTATTCAATTCTAGTGTGGCTTGTAGTCAAATGCGCATTTTGCTAACAGCTGTTTTTTCATAATTTCAATAGGATTTATTAGCTGATATAAGTTTTATACTTTGGTGTACAGTTTTTAAAGCTGATTACACTGAAACTTTGATTTTCGTTTAACAGAAATAATGATTATTTTATTTTAAAGGCCAATTTTTACAGAATTTTTTTTTTTTAGTCTTGAGATTTAATTTTTTTGTTGATAGCAAGTAAAAATTATTAAATGTAGGAGGAGGAGGAGGTGTCTTGATAAGCTTAGGGTGAGTAGGAAAATTTTCCAAAAATTATTAATTGCAGTTCTCTTCCCCCCTTCCCCCTCTTTCTAACAATGAAAATATAATATATTAAATCTAAAAATTATTAAATATATTAAATATATGCTTAATGCTTTTAATATTTAATAAACATCGTTTAAGGATTGCTGATCAGATTTTTTCTGAAACTGGTGTGGGATATGATGCCTACTTAAAAAAAAATACGAATTTAGCTGGGCGATGTTTACTTTTTATGGCCTTTACGTTTCTAGGTTTTAATTTGCGCAATTTTTTGTCATAAAATCATTAAGTTATAAAAGAATGAACATACAAAAATTAGACTTTTTAACTCACCTGGAAGTATTTTGTATTTATAACTTGCCCAAACTTTCTATTTAAGTAATTAACTAGTAAATTTACTATTTAGTTCTTTAAATAGTAAAGTTTGGGTAAGTTAAAATATTTTTTTTTGTATAATTAAATGTTAAATGTTCACTGACTTTGTCACAAAAATATTCTTTTTGCGCTTTTAAAGTTTTAATAAAATGATCAGTGTATCACTAGATGTCAATAATAATAAAATTTGTTTAATCTACTATTGTGTTTATTGTTATTTGTAATGCTTGATTAATATTTTTTTTTACTATTACATATATGTGGGTTTTGCTTATGTCTCTGTTTTTATGACTAGGCAACTCATTCTATTATCTCCTAATAAGGGTACAGCTCTAAAACTCAGTTTTATGGTTCTGAGGCCGGCAGGTAGTCAGGTTTCTCAAACTCTGTGGTAGCTTTCAGAGAGGCTGATTCCATCAACAGATGAAAAATATCAAACTATTTACAGTGCCATGTTGCACATGGATGGTGTCCCTGTTTGTACTTTTAGTGTGCATTGCCAAGGCCACATTGGAGCCCTTTTTCACGGCTTAGGGTTTATTAATAGTAATGAAGCAATTACTTGGGCTATAAAAAAGTGTACTGAGTACTATGTTTCAAGTGTACTGAGTATCTATGTTTCAAGTCAAGTTCTTTAAAAAATTTGAAAATGAATAAAGTAAAACAAAAACTATAAAACACAAAAAACCACTGTCATCACCAAGTTTGCTAAACCTATCGCTAATATTTGTGGTCTTCAAAGTAACTTTTCGTCTGTTGAGTCTTACATCTTGCAAAGTTCACCAGATTTACTTGCTCTTTGTGAGACTAATTTGAGTTCAACTGTCTCATCTTGCGATCTTAATGTTGATGGTTATCTCCCTTTAATCCGTAAAGATTCCAATAGTCACATGCTTGGCCTGGACATTTACATTCGTAAGATTTCACTTATTTGTCGGGAAACTAGGTTTAAATCCACAGACTACTCTATTATGTACTTTCATTTAGCACCATTTCACTCTATCATCTTTCTCTTTGTTCTATATCGTTCTCCCTTATCTCAAGACTGCACTCTTCTTGATCATATTTCTGATCATATTGACCAAGCCCTTTCTCTTTATCCATCAGCCAATATTGTTGTTGTCTGAGACT